ACAAAGACTAGGAGGACTGAAAACACAGGGATGAGAGGAGGAGAATGACAAAGCACGATTCGGTGATGAGCAATACCCAGCGTGCCCAGCCAGTAGGGTTACTCAAGTGTATTCAAGACCTTATTGCGGAGGCGTAATCAAGAATACCTGCGTTAATCCGCTTCTCTGCAGTCCTCTAGGTCAGACACCACCATTCCCACTCGCTGTTCTAAGTTAATTTGGGCTTAAATAGCTTCCCGTCTACCAACAGAAAAATATAAATAGTAGGAAAGCGGCATTGTGAAATAGTCAAGGCTTGTCATTTTTTACAAGTTTCTGAATGAGCAACCGCTGAGCCTCCGGAAACCGTTCCTCCCTTACGACATCCATGCCCTCCCTCAGGAATCCCCCGCTTCTCGATTCACCACGGCTCCACACTGCGAGGAGGCAAGAGGTGTTACTTTCCTCTGTGCAACCCTGAAGAAGTCACGACTAGCGCGGCAACATCTGTTTCCCATTCTGTCTTTTCATCTCAAAATAAAGATGTAAGACATGTGCCAAACCCAATCCTTGGAACTGAAATAACTCCTTGGGAATCAAGCAAAAATATAAATAAACCTGGAGATCCAGAGCAATAAAACCCAATTCCCTTTTAGCTACATACAACCCACCATCTCAGCGCAGTCAGTAAATAAAGGGGAATGACTATTCTAGCCAAAAGCCACCAGACACACACCTCTTTCTGTAAAGATCCAGCTGGTTGGTGCTGCACTGAACCATTAGGTCTTGCTTCGTGGCCCAGGACCATAAAAATGCAAGCTGCCATTTAAATCATTGGTGTTCAGACCCCTGGGATCTTCTGTTCAAAGTCCTGTTACCCAGGGCTGGGCCTGTCCAGAAAGGCCAGCAGCGCATAGCTAAGAGACACACCTTTCCAGGAAATCACTAAAAAAACGATAACCTAAAGCAAACACTTTCTTCTTTTGAGCCTGTGGGGGAAGTGCTGAGATAAAGAGTGACAGACGTTGTGGGGGCTGAATAAAAGGCTCTTCTCATCAAACAGATCAAAACTTTAAACTTACAAATGGACTTGGCACAAGGTTCTGGGGGCTTGGGTTTTTTCATTTTCTTTTAAAGAGGTCTGAAAACCTAGTCTCTTCCTTTGGAGAGGAAATCTTATGCAGCCAGGTCTATTTACCACTTCCACTACCAAATTTGGACAAAGGCCATAAACCCAGTTCTTGAAAATTCACCTCTGCTAGCCTGTTAGGGTATTCTTCATATAAGAACTGGTGTTATTTAAATGAATTCACCATTCAGGGCAGGGAGGATTTGTAGGGGCCAAGAAGCTATGGGCCACTGCATTATACATCATCTTCCATTGTGCACTGGCCAGTTTTTTGGCTTTAAAAAGGTTCCTCAGAAGCTCATCAGGCTTCCTGGGGATATAGTCAGAAACGTTTCTTGGTGGAAGGACAACAGCAGCCACTTGAGAGCCCACTGTAGATACAAGTTTCAGGCGCTTGAAACACTTTACTGGGTGGGTGGTTAAGCCCACTAACTTTCCTTGGCTTTTTTAAGGGGAAGACATTTTGACACACACACACACACACACACACACACACACACACACTCTCTCTCTCTAAACCTTTTGGGAAAAGTTCAGTATTTTGCTTGCAGTGTGACTTCCCTTGGATACTCTTCCCACAGAGAAATAACTGGAAACCAGGCTGAAAAACAAGATCGGGAACTTCCTCTAAAAATATTCAAACACTTTTTAAAAGAAATGCAAAATCCGTGGTGAATTTTTCCAGGGTGCTTTGGTGAAGGTGCAAAATTGAAGCATTTCAGAGCTACCTAGTCCAGCACACTGTTCCTCACACCCTTGGGTAGCCAAGGTCAAGGGTCCTTCCTGAGCTTGCCTGGATTGAGCTGCAGTTCTGCTCATGAACCACTCAGCTGGGTGCTCCTCTGAGCTCCCATTTCCAGGCAGTTCGCACTTACTCCTTTCTCCCTCCCCTCTCACATCCAAAATGCACTCCTGAAAAATGATTAACGAAAATGTTAATGCAGTGCTTCACCCCTTGCAAAGACAAATCCATCCGCTAGCTTGTATTTACATCTCTCACTAATATGTTGCCCTGTGGGTGCCTCATGTTCCATCTCCTACAAAGCAATCAGGAGGCCCTAGAATACAAATTATCAGCTTGACTTTATTGTTCTGGACACCAGAAGCATTCAGGAGCCATGCCAAAACACAGACCCTCAGGGTCCCACACACCCTTCTGTTACAGTGTTATAATTAGAAACTAATCCAACAGTCTGATTAAGTACTAGAATTACTACACAAAGCATGGTATAATTCTTCTCCAAAATCACCACTCACTTCAAGGGACACCAGCAAGCCATTTCACCATAACAGTTGAGAGCTGAAAAGAAGGGGATAGAGAGGCATATAAAGCCTAAACAGAAATGTCTGCATCAAACAGGGCTAAATAACCCCGGAGTGCTATTCACCTAAGCAGCTTGTGCAAATGCTCAGGAATTAGAAAGTGGACGATGAAACTGGACTAGTCGGTCTCAGAGTTCAACTGAATGACATGCGGGAAAAAAAAAAGGGGGAAAGATAAAAAAAATCTTTTTGATGCCTTATTGTGTTATTAGTGAGGGGGAAAGGGTTTAAATAAAAAAAACTCAATAGCCAATATTTCCCCTTTCATCCAGACAATGGTGTTTGTGAAAAAAGACTCTCGCTGTTTTCATGATCACATGCAGTAAGGTTTCATTAAAAATATTCATTCTCCCTCATTTACCAACTGTGTGAATTATCCTGAAGTGTACTGGCAATTTATACTATTATAGCTACAGGGGGGCGTGATGCTACAGCGCACACTGCACAGTTCACAAAAGGCATCCCATTTTAAGGCTCTTCCCTTACATTCAGTTTAGCATATAAAACACCCGCCAGGGCGGATCGTTTTAGCAACAGAGGAAGGATTGTTGCACGTCTGTCAGGTATCTGGCCTGATTTAATGCATCTCCATGGCAGCCCCGCTTGGCAGAGCTCCGATAGAGCAGCCCTTTGTACCTGGGTAGGTGAATTGAGCACCACGGCTTCAAAACACGCTGCACAAAATGGATGCTACTTATGGCTCAGATTTCCTAAATATCTTCAGAAAGTCAAATGCGTTGCTTGAGTCAGTCCCAGTATCAACACCCCGAAGTATGCCAACTACGCTTCATCTCGAAGAGACTCAAGCATAACACTGCTTCTAAATGTGAGCTATATGGGAGCAACACTCAGCCTACTAATGCTGCGCCAGGGAGCAAAAGTCTCATAACCATAAAGGAGTCTTCTTCGGTCTGTAGGAAAGCCAGAGTTCACCTTTCCTGACAGCCCCCTCTCAACAAAATGAATCCCCTTCTTTTCTGGATCTGAAACCCTGTTTTTTCCCAAGGGTAACATGACTCGAAGGCAGCAGGGCGTGAGGGAGGATTGAATGTTAGTCCCCAGATTAGGCAAAGGGGCCACCTGACTGTGGCAGACTGCAGGATGGGTCAGTCTGCACTTGAACCCAAGAGGCTCCGATCCAAAGCAGATGACTGACTACTGAGCAACACGTCAGCTGTCTTCAAACAGCTTCCTCCTAGGATACAGGGACTGCACAGTTTACTTTGTCCATAAATTTGCTGTTAGCAGCCAAGAAACCTGACTGACAACACAAGTGATATGCTGCAGGGAGACTTTGTTAGACTTGTTCCTCGCACTCAAAACAAACACTCTTGAATGAGGAGGAAACAGCTAATCTGTCTCCAAAACGTTTTGCCATTTAAGTGTTTCTACTATCACTTTTACAAACTCAAATAAAATTCTAGTCCCTCAAAGGCTTCTGGTTACTGTCCACAGCCGAGACACGATGGAAAGCCAGTTGTACGTATCAGTCTCCCAACTCTAGTGTAAAGTTTTATACTTCCAACCCAGAAAATTTTGAAAGGGGCCAAATCACTACAACCTCCATGTGATACAGACAAAATACAGATAAAGGAGCAAGGAAGAGCTGCAAATCAGAAGCAAAGCACCAACGTGGTTATGTTTGCCACGTGCTCTGCTAGTTCCACTCTGCTGATTTCAATTCAGGTATGGCTACATTACGAGATAAGTATAGCGCTTGCTATCGCCACGGGACTGCACAACCACCAATCATTTAAGGAATTAAAGAGAGCACTACTGTCCTCTCATATCCATGTACTCAAAAAAATGGCACATGCACGCACACAGCCGTCTGCTTAGCGAAGGGTACAGGACAAATGAATTGCTAGCATCAGCTGCCATAACCATATTGCCTCACAACATGTTTGTTTCCAAATTGGCCTCTTATTCCGTCCCATTTCTCCATGCTGGCTTTTAACCACAGGCCTTGAGGAGTGGAGGCTTCACTATAAAACTTAGGCCAGGATGCAACACAAGCCAAAATGCATTTAAAGACAGTATTACAATGAGACTGTTGCACAGCTGAATCTGATTGCTCCAGCCCAGCTGAGACAACTTAGGAATGGATCTCATGATGCAAAACTTCTGCTCAAAACAAAAATGTACAGCCACTATAAAAATAGAAGTCAAACATATGAAGTCTAGGAAGTGCTATTTTGCTACCAATTACAGTGGTGGATAATACCAGAGCTCCCAGAGGGGTTTACATTTCTATATGACTTGAGGGGAGGGGGGGAGGGAGGTACAAGCCACACAGCCCCTTTGGTTGCTGTCCATAGAGACTTATTTCCAAGTATTTTCACATGAGAAACTAAATGGAAATATGCCATCGTTACAGTACAACACAGCTGTGGAGTAACAGACTGCCATATTTATCAACGTGTGATGTGCAATGGCATGAAGGTCTTGACAGTTTGTAAACTAATTTTCTTGATCAAAGGAGGAAGGCTGGATTTTAAACTAGGTTTTTGCCAGAGTGGTCTAGGAAATTCAATGCAGACCACAATACTAGGGTATTATCCTTTTTATGCTACTTAGGAACGGCTATCGTGCTAATCAGCTGTTACAGGGTTTTAATGCTAGGTCTACTTATTTATTGCATACAGTGAGGTAGGTAACTACTTAGTTGATATCGTTATCACATAGCCTGAAATACAGAAGATTGCAAATTACTTACGTTAGATCTGCCAAGTGAAGGAAGTCCGGACGGACTGTGTTCTTCATTTGCGGGGTCTTGGTACCTGATCTGATCTATTCTCATGTAAGAATCGTACAATCCGTCTCCATATCTGGCTGGAAACATCACATATGCAAGGCAGTTATTCACAACAGTTAGAAGTTTTTTTCTAATTAAGACAGTTGGCTGAGTTTCAGTTCATTTTCAATAAACTTTAGGCTTTGCTTAGATTCTCTTCTTTTTTTTATCATTTGCAATGCAAAACTATTCTTTAAGGAACAAGAATGATCCTAGGCAGAGGGCTCCTTTTCCATCCTCAAGCAGTCAAACTATCCTGTAAAAGCGACATGCAGCAATCAAGCTCAATAAATTTGCTGATATTAACACCAATCAGCAAGAGAGAGACAAGAGAGAGAAAAAAAAAAAGACACACACCATGGGGGGAGCCACCAGACTTTTCGTTTGTCCAGTAACTGCCAAATACCACGACTGCGCTTTAAAAAAAAATAAATAAAAAAAAGTGTCTGAAGCCATTAACATCACAATCTCACAACACTGATCAACAGATACCTTCAAAATATTGCCAGAGCGTTTGTTAAACCATCAAGTACTGCGTTTCTATGAAAATAAGATGGTGTTTCTTATACCAGGAATGCTTTGCTCTAAAAAGTGTAACCCCCCCAGCTCTGTCACTCCCTCCAAGGAGCTGAGACGGCAACGCCAGCCGCCAAACAGAAAATGACATTATTTTTTTTAAATCCCCAATTCAAGGCCAAAAAACCCGCCTGGTTCCCTTCGCTCCCCGCCCCGAACACGCTCGTTCGTGGCACGCCGCATTGTCATTTTGCCCACCCCAAGGGGGTCTTGCATCGGGAAGCTCCTCCAACTCCATCCCAGCTGTGCAAGGACCCCCCTCCTCTGCGAGAAACCCTTGCATAACATCTGGACCACCCAATTTGGGGCTCACGGCGGCTCTGACCCTTCTGGGCCGCGTCCTGGTCCCTCGGCGGTGCTTTTCCGGGGTGGGGAGCGACTCCGGATTAGGGGACCCCTAATGTGAGCGGATCCCAAGCAGAAAGGGAGCAGCTGGGGCTCCCCGGGAAGCAGGGCCCGAGGGACAAAGGCCCCGAGCATCCCGGTACCTGCGGCCAGGGGCCCCTCCACCTTCCTGCTCAGCAGCATCATGGCCGGGGGCGCTCGGCTGGCAGCCCGGCCGCCCCATCCCCTGCACACTGCCGGGAACACGCTCCCCGCCCGGGCAGGCGGCGTCTGCGCCCAGCCCGAGCCGGCGGGGGAAGGAGGGGAAGGGGGAGGAGAGACACAGAGCGGGCGGCTGCTTCCCTTCCCCGCCCCGAGCCGGCCTCCTCCCGCAGCATCCCCAGACCGGACCCTGCTGCCTGCAGCGGCTGCACGGCACCGCCTTGAAATGCCACCGGGACAAGCCGCAGGCCTGGCACGGCATGGCATGGCACACATCTCGAACATGCCCCCTGGCATGGCGCAGAACTGGCACCCGATGCAGTGCAGACCTGGCGCCCAAACCTGCCGCTCACCAAGGCGCAGACTGTGCATGTGAACCTGTCACCTGGCATGGTATAGACCTGGCACCTGGAGCTGCCCCCTGCCACAGCACAGACCTCGCGTCCGAACCTGTCCCCCTGGCACGGTGCAGAACTTGCGCCCAAACCTGCCACCCAGCACGGCACAGACCTCGCCCCTGAACCTGCCCCCTGACACAGAGCAGGCCTTGCGCCCAAACCTGCCACCCAGCATGGCGCAGACCTCACCCCCGAACCTGCCCCCTGGCACAGAGCAGGCCTTGCACCCAAACCTGCCACCCGGCACTGCACAGACCTCGCCCCCAAACCTGCCCCCTGGCACAGAGCAGGCCTTGCACCCAAACCTGCCACCTGGCATGGCACAGACCTTGCACCCAAACCTGCCACCCGGTACAGCGCAGACCTTGCACCCAAACCTGCCGCCCAGCACGGCATAGACCTGGCACCTGAACCTGCCCCCTGCCACAGCAGAGACCTCACGTCCAAACCTGTCCCCCTACCATGGTGCAGACCTTGCACCCAAACCTGCCCCCTGGCACAAAGCAGACTTCGCACTCAAACCTACCACCCGGCACAGCACAGACCTTGCGCCAAACCTGCCCCCCGGCACAGTACAGACCTCGCACCCGAACCTGCCCCCTGCCACAGCACAGACCTTGCACCCAAACCTGCCACCAGGCCAGTAGCAGTGGCCAATGTCCTGCTTCCATGAACAGTTGTCAATAGGTGCTCGAGAGGCCGTGCAACAGAGGAAAGCAACTGTCCCAGTCCCTTCCCATCCTTCCTGACCCCAAACGTGGCATCATTTAATTCAAATGATTATAGGACTCACGCGACAGTGTCTTTGGATTATTTGTGCCCCGTGTGTTGTCAAATCAAAGGGGGGTGTGACTGCACCCCCGCACCCCTCTGGATCTGCCCCTGTATATTGACATCCTAAGCACAGAGGAAGGATGGCCCCGTGGGCAGGGTGTTAGTGGAGAGTGGAGTTCAGATTGCAGATGGAGCAGGACCTGGACAAAACACTGGGCTGGGTGCACCCCAGCTGCGCTCTGCCTGCCATGATGCACCAGTGCAGGGTTTTCACCCTGCTTAGACTCTAGCCCCGCTCTGGGAAAACATCTGCTCTTAGTTTCTACTGATCTTTTTTAAAATAATAGGGCAATTCTTGGCTAATAGAGCAATTCTTCTGCTGCAACGGGCTCACAAAGGCCAGGCCTGGTCAGAATGTTTTTGATACTCTGGGTTCCTATCTGAAAGTGAATCACGTTTGCACTCCTAACAGTGCTAACCTAGCTGTGCCACTGCACTCCTGGAAGGATCTTGCAACACTTGGTTGAGAATCACTGCACTAGCGCAGGCCTTCTTACTGCACTCGGACGGGCTGGAAAGGCTGCAATTTGCCCAATACATGCACTCAGGGGAGCTCAGCATAAACAGTGCTCATGAACTACAAGCACTGCCTTCCCTGAGCCTTTTCCCATTTCATTGACGAGCCTTTACTTGTCCTTTTTGTTCCAACGTAGGCTATGAAATTGATAGGGCCAAGTCAGATCAGGGCTGCTTCAGAGGCTCTGAATGGAGGGCTCACAAGTCAATCTCACCTCCAAGTAGTAGTTACTGTACTAAGTCGACAGCAAGGCAAGGAGTTCCTATGCCCGTAGCTATCCATGCACTTAATTGACACACTGGCAAAACGCAGAGGGTGTGGGCTGGGACTGTGCTGCTATAACTGCACTTTTGCTGGAGTGATTTATTCTAACCCCTCCCCTATCCCAACCAAATCTATTATATTGGCAAATGTGTAGGTTTGCCAGCCTACCTGTCTATGCTAGCTACAGCTACACTTGCAAGTACAACCATGGCAGACAGCAATCACATCTCAGTGCCCTTCTAACCACCATCACTATGGCAGCAAAGCTTGCAGTGGCCTTTGTCACAGGCCTTAGTAGTCTGGCTGTCTATATGTCTTTGTTGTCTGGAAACAGGTAGGTTTATTACTACAAGGTAGCAAATGCCTGTTTGTTTTCCCACTGCAGGAATATACTAGCGGCTGGACTCGATGATCTCATGAGGTCCCTTCTAGCCCCCTATGAAACTGGGGACCAGGCACTGTGTGGCTGTGCCAGGAGGTAAAGGAGATATGGTTAACATGAGATGGTGGTACACTGCTATGACTCAGTTTCCCATCTTTAAAATGAGGACAGAAATAGTTCCCTCCTGGTGAGGATAGATGCAAATAATCTAGTAAGGCCCTCAGATACTTTAGGAGCGGGGGCCATAGATGTGCCAAAGATAGACAAAAGGTTTTAAAATAGACAATAAGTGTAGTGTATTTGTAAACGGGTACAGCCCTCCTAAATACAAGTCTGACCAAAAAAAGACTAATGCTGGTGTTTCCAAAGTGAGGCCTACAGGCAAAATACAGCCCACAAGCCTTTTTGATACAGCCCAGTGCCCAGGGATGTAACTTTGGGAGCCCTTCCTCCAGTGAATGTCCTGCCTCCCTATCCTTGGCTCAGGGCTGGTTGTGTTGCAAAGAAAAGCCTCAGAGCCACCTGGTGTCAGTAGCAGAGATCACAGCCCTGCCCATGTTCTCTGGGGATGTGCTTCACTTCCTGCACCACATCTTCAAGTAGGCAAGCGTCCATCCTTCGGGATCGTGGTGCGTGCAGGAGAGGTCGCCAGGACCTTGGATGTGTACACCTAGGCAGGAGTGCGGAGGAGCGAAGGCTGCCCAGACCTTCCCTCTCCGCTTTAGGTCATTAAGACCGTCTCCAAAGGCCAGACCGAGTCTGGATGTTCGATGCCTCGATGGCTGTAGTTATACACACATCCAGGAATTGAACCCCGGTCTCCTGTGTAGTGGAAAAGGATTCGACCCCTGAAGCCCCGAATCTTCTACCCTGAGGGGAAGTGGACACACTGCTCTACACACAATGGATTTATTTTTAAAATCTTTATTTAAAGTGCGTGCCCGCTTCAGGGTTACGTTACCTTTTTTCACTGACTGCTTCAATTTTGGATGCTGTGGGGAATCAGGACTCTTGCCTCGACTTTCTAACAAAATCTCTGTTTGGGGGACCTTCAATGCCTCACTTTTCACAATGAGCAAAGTTAAGCAATTGGAGAAGGGGTTTCCTCCCCAAAAAGATTAGAGTTTTACGTTGTCACCGCTGAAGAATCCTATGCAAGTTTGCTGTCTGGTCAATATAGAGAAGCCTGTATTAAACGTGGTCTTTGCAACAAGCAGTTGCAAATATTTCTCCTAAAAGACAATAAGAGATCTGAAAAGTCATCAGCCTGCATCAAACACAGCATTTCCCCACACACAAGTGCACCCATTTCCCCACACACAAGTGCACAGTATCTCCCCACACACAAGCGCACCCATTTCCCCACACACAAGCGCACCC